CAAACTTCCCAGTTCACCACAACACTCTATGCCTGTGAAGCCTCCAGACCTGCCCCTGTACCTAAGAAAAAACTATTCACAAAAGGCTTGACTAAACAAATATGTTTTCAGCCGAGTTAAACACTGAGACTGTGTCTGAGCCCCGAACACTAAGTGGAAGGCTGTTCCATAACTGTGGGGCTTTGTAAGAGAAAGCTCTACCCTCAGCTGTAGCCTGCACTATTCGAGGTACCAATAAATAGCCTGCACCTTTTGATCTTAGTAGGCGTGGCGGATCATAAAAGACCAAAAGTTCGCTCAGATACTGTGGCGCGAGACCATTTGGTGCTTTATAGGTCAATAGTAGTATTTTATAATCAATACGAAATTTGATTGGGAGCCAATGCAGTGTGGATAAGATAGGGGTGATGTGGTCATATCTTCTGGTTCTAGTAAGGATTCTTGCTGCTGCATTCTGGACTAACTGGAGCTTGTTTATTAGGTTATTAGGTAATCAGAAAGCTTACTCCTAACTGCATATGGTCCTAGTACAAGTACTTCTGTCTTGTCAGAATTAAGTAAGAGAAAGTCAATAAACATCCAGTGTCTAATGTCCTCAATATTCCTCAACTTTATTAAGCTGGTCTCTATCATCTGGCTTTGCTGAAATATACAACTGTGTGTCATCAGCGTAACAGTGGAAGTTAACACCATGTTTACGGATAATTTTGCCCAGTGGGAGCATATATAGAGAAAAGAGCAGTGGGCCTAAAACAGAGCCTTGCGGGACACCAAACTTTACCTTAGTATGAGAAGAGAAGTCACCATTTACGTTTACAAACTGATAACGATCTGTCAAATAAGACCTGAGCCAGGAGAGGGCCGTCCCCTTAATGCCTTCTAGTCTATCGAAGAGAATAGCATGATCAATAGTATCAAAAGCTGCACTAAGGTCAAGCAGCACAAGCGATCTCTGAGAATCTTATCTGAGATTGTGGCTGATGTCCTTTCTACTTGGCATGATGTAGACACACCTGAGTGCTCCAGAGGAAACCATGGGAACCAGTCAGATTTGTTGCGGATTGGAAAATGGTCAGTTTAGTGCTAAGAAGCCAACCTCAGGCAAGTCAGATGTATGGGTATCATTTTGACACATCATAGAACTAAGTGGAAATAAACTACCCTTTGTGCGATGTGATAAATGTCTAAAAGTTCAGCAGCCAAGAGACTGGATTCTCTGGTTTAAGGCAACAGTAAAATATATTAAAATAATACTGTATTTTGATAAGAAATAAAAATAACAAATAAAAACCTTTATACACTTGTATATTTGTTTCCCCCCATCTCTCTCTCTTTCCCTAGGGGAAATTTTAAATGTGAGATAATGGAAACAAGATCTAAGTTAAGCGGGAGTGGTTGGGAAGAAAATCATTCTAAGCAGTTAGGGTGCTGGGTGCTAATTACTCTCAGTGATTGTGAAAGTAGGAAGGATGTACTTCTGGTTTATAAATAAATTTTTATTATGTTTATATTTTGTTCAAATTTTGCTGGATGTTTAATAAACACTCAAGTTTGGTATTGTTATGGTAGCACCAAAGGGTGCAGAACTGCACTAACCATCAGCCCCAGGATGACACGTCTCACTATGTCTTGTTATGCCTTATTAGCGCCACTATTTAATTTCTAGTTTTTCAGTGTCTCACCATCAGGCTTTTGTTGTAGTTGTTGTTTGTTGTCATGTGTACCTCATTATCACTTATAGTCTGTATGTCGCTTGCTTTGTATCCACAGTTCATGTTAATGGTTCTTGTACTTGCACTTGCACCTGCCTCCTCTACCATCTTCTGATAGGTATCATAAAGAAATTCTCCTCAGGTGCAGTTTCTTTATTTTGTTGTAACTGTGTTTTTACTTTTAATTCCAGTTAATAATTTAACAAATATTCAGAAACAGAGCTTAAGTATAAACTTTATATTTTTCTCCTCTTTTTAATTGAAATTTTAAAAATTTATATATATAAATGTATGTGTGTGTATGTATGTATGTATGTATGTATGTGTGTGTGTGTGTGTGTGTGTGTGTGTGTGTATATATATATATATATATATATATATATATATATATATATATATATATATATACACTTTATGAATAGCTAAATGCTAATGATTAGCAACACTGTAAAGATAATAAAACAAATTCTGTAATATCTAATTCTGCAAAGATATTACAAAATTATACTCAAAAAACATGCTGCAATAAAAAGTCTTTATTTTGTATGTTAACATTCACTCTGTCCTGTACAGTAGCTTATGTACGAGATTTATAAACAGTATACACTGTGTTTATAACATACTTACACATGCTCTATAAAAATAATATATTATAAATATAATATAATATAAAGTTAATATACATTTAATTCAGTGTTTCAAAAGTGAAGTCTTCATCCAGTCCATACAGCTTTTAACGGCGCATGTGCACTCTGTCTGTAATTCAAATAAATAAAATAAAATAAATATACAGGATATGAAAGAGGTAAATACCTATACATCATAAAACATTCAGAATTCTTAGTCATGAGATTTAATATACAAAGTGTAAAGATTAATTTAATTTATTTATTTTGGATTATTCTTTATGATTCTGCATCCTGAAACACACACATCACACACAAATAATATAAATAAACATATGAAAATAAAACTATTCATATTTATTTAAAAAAGTCTTTATTAGAAGCTCCTATGCTAAAAGGATTTTGCAATCCTTTATGTTTGTGGTGTTTTTATAAAATAAAAGTGTGTTCTGACCCCAGTGGTTCTCTGGAGCCACGTTCTCATAGACAGGATACAGCGGGTTCTCCTGCTCACTACGTAACTTTCTCGCACGAAGAACATCACGTACGCACTGGTGCAGGTACGTGTACTGACTCTGCTCACACACACACACACACGCGCACACACATATGGTCTCTTTTATATTGAGTGATAGGCTTGTGTGAAATTGATTTTTCCCTGCTCACGATTTACCATTTTAAAAACAATGTGAGATGGGGGAAGGGGATGGGGTCTTCAGGTAGTGTCAGTTAATATCAGAGAGTTCAAAACATCTGTGCAAATCATTCCAGATTCATATGTCAACTGTCTCATCTTTTTTTTTTTTTATTCTCTCATATACAGAAAAAGAAAACTGCTCTTTGGTGTATTTTTGAGTGATAACTCACACAAGTGTACTCCAGTGTTAAATTGTGGTGGTCCTACGCAAAATGTGTAAAGGTTGGCACGTCTGGTAATACAATATAATCATAGTAAACATCACTGGATATTGTGGCAGTGTATTATTGTGCAGAGACGATAACACTCTTATTTAACACAAGCCTCATATGTAATGTGTTATTGAACAGTGCATGAGGTCAGAGGTTGTGTCCCACCTCAGTCTGCACCATGTGTGAGCGATGCAGTCTCAGGTCAAACACTGCACCATAAATGTCTACTGTGTCTTTAGTGTTTAGCTGCTGCAGAACCCGGTCCAGAACAATAAAGGTTCCAGTACGACCTACTCCAGCACTGACACAAACAACACACACACACACACACACACACACACACAGAGACAGAGAGACAGAGAGAGAGGAACACATAGAACAAAAAAATGTAAGCATTTTATCTAGAAACAGAACCTATGGTGGAACAGGAACAATAATCAGAAACACAACTAAAATTAGAAACAAAAAAAACCAGAACTTTATCTAGAACCTGAAATAGAGGAAAGTAGAGCAGAACTAGACCCAGAACCAGAACTGGAACTGGAGCAACAACTATAAAATGTAAATAAAACATATTTACAATAAAACATAGAACTACATACAAAACAGGAAATATGAAGCTACAGAATGTGAATCCTAGCAAGAACATAAATAAAATCAGGAGCAAAAGCCAAAACTAGAACAACAATCAGAACTAGAATTAAAACCTAAATTAGAATTAAAATTAACACCAGAATTAGAACCAAAAGAAAAACTGCAGTCAGAACAAGAACAGGAACTAGAATCAGAAGTAGAACAAACACAAGGCCAAAAACCAGAACTGGGAGGAGAATTGAACAAGTACTAGAATGGGAACAAGAATGAGACCCATAATGAACTACAAATATAACAGGAACTAGAATAAAAAGAGCAAGCAAAATCACAACTAGAACTGGAACAACGACTGTGTTTGTGGAAACTCCCAATGTGTCACACCTTCTGAGTTCCTGTGTGTGTGTGCGCGCGCGTGTGTGTGTATACCTGCAGTGGATGACGGAAGGTCCGGAACCCAGGGTTCTGTTGATGTAATCTCTCACAGTGCGAACAAACTGCACCAGAGACTGAGTGCTGTCAGGAACTCCGTGATCGGGCCAAACTGTGTAGTGGAACTGACGTACAGTTCTAGAGTAATTCAGCTGATCCTCCTGTATACACACACACACACACACGCACACACACACACACACACACACACACACATACAATAAAGCATAAAAATGGTACGTTAAATTCCAGTGTTTTGGAGAACAGCTACAACTTACAGACCACTCAGAAGTTAGAACATAAATGGCATCACACTAAATTGCTAGTATTCCAAACTGCATGGAAGGAGAGCCTTCTTAGCTATAGAAAGACTCTTAATGTTGCCGGATCAGCACAGAGTGCCTTGCAAAAGTATTCAACCCCTTTAAAGGTCATCAGAATCATCTAGATTACAAATTACACTTACACAGATGGTTCCAGCCAGTATTTTTATTGCAAGCTAGTATGCTTTTAATGTAAATTTTCAACATCAAAATACATTATTTGTCAGCAGGCCTTTAAAAAAATTTTCCTCTTCTTCTTCTTTCGGCTGTTCCCCTTAAGGGTCGCCACAGTGGATCATTCGGCCACATATTTGATTTGGCACAGTTCTTACGCCGGATGCCCTTCCTGACACAACCCTCCCCGATTTTATCTGGGCTTGGGAGTGCACTGTCTTGTGCAACACCGGGGTCTGGCCGGGAATTGAACCCGGGCCACGGCGGAGAGAGCACCCAGGCCTAACCACTAGTCCTCCAGGGACACAGACCTTTAAAAAATGTAAAACTGAAAAATGGTGTTTGCATAAGTATTCATAACAAGTAAGCATCATAGCAAGTAGGGAACTGGTGAGGGAAGCCACAGAGAGGCCAACAATCACTTTGAAGGAGTTACAGAGTTCAGTGGTCGAGAGTGAAGGTGCACCAGTCAACAATGTCCAGAGCTCTGCATACTACTGGCTTGTATGGGGGTGGAGGGGAGGGGTGCTAGAAAGAACCCATTACTGAAGAAAAACACATCAAATCATGTCTGGTGTTTGCCAGAAAATGTGGGAAAGGTTTTGTGATCAGAAGGGAGAAACTTCACCTTTCAGCAGGACAATAATCCCAAGCACAAGGCCAAAACAACACGAGTTGTTAAAAACAAAAACAAAAAAAAAGAATGTTCTACAATGGCCAAATCAAAGTCCAGATCTGAAACCAATCAAGAATCTGAGACACTGTAGAAACTGCGGTCCATAAGCATCATCCAACCAACCTAAAGAACCTGAAACAAGTTAACTAGGAACAAGACCATGGTAGTAGCACAAATACCAACAGTATATAGTAGCAATGACTCTAAATTTTGAATGAATTTTTTTCACTATAGATCAAACTAATTTCACTAATTTCCTCTTCAAAATCATCAACTTGTAGACTAGAAAACGTTGTAGCATAGCATAGGTCATAGCTGCATAGGAATAACATTCATTAAATCTTTCAGTCAGGATTTAGGCCTCATCCCAGTACTGAGACAGCACTGGTTAAACAGGTAAATGAGTGAATACTGTCCTCCATTTAGGGTTGTGTATCCTTGCTTTGGAATGAATTGGAATGCTGACTGCATGCCACGCCTTCTCCCCACATCAGTGCCTGACCTCACTAATGCTCTTGTGGCTGAATGAGCACAAATCATCACAGCCACATTTAAAAAACAATTAGTGGAAAGACTTCCCAAAAGAATGGAAGCTATTAGAGCAGCAAAGGGGGGAGCAAACCCATACTAATACCCATGGTTTTGGAATAGAGGTGATGCCCTACTTCTCGGTTGAGTTCGCTTGCTGCTGGGGCCCCATATGGACGGCCTGAGGAACTGTTTGGTTTGCTGGTGATGGCGCCACCTGGGGGCTGTGGAGATGGCTTGGGGATCACATATGGGGAGCTGTACTGTAATGGCTTGGGACTGCAATTGCTGTAGTGGCTTTGGCGCTGCGGTTGCCACGAGCAGCTTCATACTCAGGACTCCATCAGTGGACAGTGGATAGATTTTAACCAACCGGACTTCTTGCGAAAACTGTGATGAATTTATTGGTTGCACATTTACACTATTTGTCCTTATAGCAACGGATAGTGTGATTATAAGTCATTCCCTTCTATTATTGTGTACTATAAGGACAAATAGTGCAATTGTGCAACCAATAAATTCATCACAGTTTTCACACGAAGTCCGGTTTGTTAAACCTATCTATTGTCCACTGATGGAGACCTGAGAACTTGCGGCAACCGCAGCCCCAAAGCCACCACAGCAATCGGAGTCCCAAGCCATCACAGTACAGCTCCCCACATGAGATCCCCAAGCCATCTCCACAGCCCCCAGGTGGCACCATCCCCAGCAAACCAAACAGTTCTTCAGGCCGTCCATATGGGGCCCCAGCAGGAGCAAGCAAACTCAACCATTGAGAACTCCAACCAGAAGTAGGGCATCAGGATGTGTCAAGCAGCGAGGAGGAGCAGAACAGGTCAGGATCACTGGCATCTCAGAAGTAGCATGTGTAGCTCGACAGAGAGTGAGGGAGAGAGAGAGCTGGAGAGAGAGGAAGAGAATGTTAGATGCGCTTTGTCCTCTAATGGTTAAGCACAATATACTTTGCATGCAGAGTGCAAGCAGGGACTCCGGCAAGACTAGCTATGACAGCATAACTAAAAGGGAGAGCCAGAAGCTAACACAGACATGGGACATAAAGCAGCAGCCACTCCACCGTCGACAAACCTGAGTGAACGTGTGAGAGTGGGGGGGCGACAGCATCCAAACATCCCAGTTCACCACAACACTCTATGCCTGTGAACCCTCCAGACCTGCCCCTGTACCTAAGAAAAAACTATTCACAAAAGGCTTGACTAAACAAATATGTTTTCAGCCAAGACTTAAACACTGAGACTGTGTCTGAGCCCTGAACACTAAGTGGAAGGCTGTTCCATAACTGTGGGGCTTTGTAAGAGAAAACTCTACCCCCAGCTGTAGCCCTCACTATTCGAGGTACCAACAAAAAGCCTGCACCTTTTGATCTAAGTAGGCGTGGTGGATCATAAAGACCAAAAGTTCGCTCAGGTACTGTGGCGCGAGACCATTTAGTGCTTTATAGGTCAATAGTAGTATTTTATAATCAATACGAAATTTGATTGGGAGCCAATGCAATCAAGGGTAAGATAGGATAAGATAGGGGTGATGTGGTCATATCTTCTGGTTCTAGTAAGGATTCTTGCTGCTGCATTCTAGACTAACTGGAGCTTGTTTATGCATCTACTGGAACATCCAGACAGTAAGACATTACAATAATCCAACCTAGAGGTAACAAAAGCATGAACTAATTTTTCTGCATCTTGTAGTGACAATATATTTCTTACTTTAGCAATATTTCTGAGATGAACGAAAGAGATCCTAGTGATATTATCTACATGAGCTTCAAATGAAAGACTAGAGTCGATAATCACACCAAGGTCTTTTACTGCTGCAGATGATGAAACAGAAAGGCCATCCAGAGTTATTATGTAATCAGAAAGCTTACTTCTATCTGTATGTGGTCCTAGTACAAGTACTTCTGTTTTGTCAGAATTAAGTAAGAGAAAGTTGGCCTAAAACAGAGCCTTGCGGGACACCAAACTTTACTGTAGTATGCGTAGAGAAGTCGCCATTTACGTTTACAAACTGATAACGATCAGTCAAATAAGACCTGAGCCAGGAGAGGGCCGTTCCCTTAATGCCTACTACATCTTCCAGTCTATCGAGGAGAATAGCATGATCAATGGTGTCAAAAGCTGCACTAAGGTCAAGCAGCACAAGCAAGGAGTCACAACCCTGATCAGAGGCCAGTAGTAAGTCATTTACCACTTTAACCAGCGCTGTCTCTGTGCTATGATGAGGCCTAAATCCTGACTGATGCATTTCATGAATGTTATTCCTATGTAAGTATGAGCATAGCTGCTGTGCTACAACCTTTTCTAGGACCTTGGAGATAAAGGGGAGGTTAGATATTGGTCTATAGTTAGA